CCATTGATTGCGAGTCTGCAACTGATCAGATTTTCCAAGTCATACTATAAAGATATCATCGAAGTTCAAATTCGATGCGTTTAAAACACAAAATGGAAAAGGATAACTTAAATACAAGACAAAACCCGCTCAGAGCGCTCAATACAGAACTTCGGCTGAACCGAAAATGCTAACGCTGAACATGTCCATGTGAGCAGCTTTTAATAACCACCGGCTCTGCAGGCATTTCAAACTAGTGAGAGACATTTAGGCCCTTTTTCTTCCTCATTTGGCAAATACTGTGCAAGCGTGCACACTTAAATATTGCCCATTAAGTAACACATCTCGTGTCAGTTCTACTGCAAGGCAGGGCCTTTGTTCTTCGCTGGCCCCGGCACGTCTTTCACTTTCAACTTTTCCCCCCTCTCGCAAGGCTTCCTGCTCTTAAGGATGTCATACAAGCGTAAGGAGCACAAAGGGCTTGACAAATTACAGCCCTGTCCACAGCAGAAACATCTTCTAAAAGCTCCTCCTCGCTGCTAACATCTCCTCTGATGCCTGGGATAGCGGGCACCGGGCAGCAGGCAGGTCACCAACACTTTTAACACCCCGGGAAACAAACCCGCTCTCGGCATTTTAAAGCGGCATCGAAAACTGCCAGCCGCCCCCCTGCGCGGGAGGGCGAGCGGGGCTGAGGATGTTACCGAGACACGTCCAGCCCAGGCAGCAGTACAAACTTTGAGAAAACTTCCCTGATGTCAGAGCAGGGCCCGAGGGCCGGGAAGTGCCGCAACTTCCCCCGGCCCGAAGGGATCCAGGGCTCGTGCCCGCCGAGTGCTGCTTTAGGGCAGGCCCGGGGACGCGCGGGAGACAACCCCAGCCCCTCCGAGATGACGCCCGTGTGGAGGTCAGCGTGGGGCTGCCCTGGGCCTGCTGCACCCCGCGCAGCCTCCCCCGGGATGGGGGGCTGCCTAGGGCGAGGTGTCCTTGGCCCCCCCCCGCCACGCCGGGTCCACGCGCTCTCCCGCCCCCGGCACTGCTGCCGGTGGGGCACAG